AGTCTATCTTTCGAAATACTACTGTAATGCCTTGGAATTTTGGCACATAGGCAGGTCTTCTAGTATACAGGTCTTCAGGTCTAGAGAGGTCTAGAGAGCAGGTCTAGAGAGCAGTTCTAGAGAGCAGGTCCAGAGAGCAGGTCTAGAGAGCAGTTCTAGAGAGCAGGTCTAGAGAGCAGGTCTAGAGAGCAGGTCTTCTAGTATACAATGCCGCTTGAAGCAAGCGTCGATGCCTAGCGGGAAATATTCTTGTTTGAAGTTTGCTTGAAAAGAATGACTCCATCGTTCAACGTCAAATTCGGATCCTCCTTGAAAGCTCTCGTAAGGAATCGGTCTTCATTCTATGTTGTTACCTTCGGTCGCCCCTTTCTCCCACATCTGGGCACATTTCCAGACGCATTCATTTTTGCCATAAGAAGAGGAACTGTTTTTGGCATACAACCTTAAGAGACGAGCAACGTCTTGTCGTGGCATTCTTTCCTTCCTTGCCTCGACGATCCTTTCTTTATCCGGAGTTGACAAGTACGCTCCTGGCATCTAAAAAAAATAAAATAGTACCAGTAAATACGAAGCGAACGAAAATAATCGCATGTTTGCTTGAAGTTTTTGTTGGCAGGTGACTGTCTGATCGTCCTCATTCCTCATCGTCACGAATAGTCGATTACGCTATCGTTTTGAAGACTGAAACGTTTTAGGAAACGCCTTCAAAAGCAAATTTTAGCAAATATGTTCAAAAAAAATTCAAAGGGTTGACAATTTTTAGGTGAAACTGCTTCGTGACTGTTTGAAGAAAAACGGGGACGCAAATGCGAGAAGAGCGTTTTGGTACGAGCTCGTATAGTGGGTTGAGTTTAGACTCTGAAAGATCTTTTGCTCTAGTCAGAAATCCCAAGTAAAGCATTTTCTAAAATGCGTGCTCTTCCAAAACTACCATAATCTTGTCTCAAGTTTTATCAAATCTATCTACTTGTATCTTATTGTATCGTTTTTGAATCCTTACAGAATCATACTGAAAGATTGGATAGATTGGATGAAACTAAAGACAAGATTACGGTATCTTTTCTGAAGGCTGAAACATTTCAGAGCCCTCAAAAGGCCCTCAAAAGTAAATTTTAGCAAAGTGAACAATCTCCGAGATGGACATCGTAAAAAAAAAGAAGACGACGAAAAAGAGAAAAAGATTGCCGTTTTGTTGATGAAAGCCGGGTAAATGATCCAAAGAATTTGGTGAATGAGAAATTGATTTCAGCGGATTGTTGAAGGAAATTGGTACAGCGATACAGGCAAATGGGAGTATCGATCAATCCGATTGGGACAACTTACTTGAACAATTTGATGCCATTCAACCAGCAGACCCTCAACCGGTGAGTGAGAGGTTTTACCGGAAAGACAATTAGAATTGTCCGTATTTTATAGTCAAACCAACCGAAAAACGGCTTTTTCTGGGTAGATATTTTGGCGTTGACGCATAGTTTTTGTCGCCATGGCGCCATGGCGCAGACGGGAACGCTCTTGTCTACGGCCGGCACGACCCGGGTTCCACCGCCCGTAGTGCCATTCAATTATGATTTTAAATGTTGCAAAACCGATGGCTCACTGACTTCGAAGACTCACTAAAGACTTCGAAGCTTAAGCTGAACATCGGGGATTACGGTAATCTCGTTAAAATGAAAGAGGTTATCGTAGTCCAGCTAAACGATTAAGCTAGAAAAGTAGCGTACTCCAGTTGCCTTTTGTAAATAAATGGAATATCAAGGAACTAACCGGTGAGCGTATACGGTAGCTTGCTTGCGGTAGCTATACGAAATTACAATCGTTTTTCTTTTTCTCAGGCGTATCTTTAGAAAAACCGTTAATCAACTTTAGATCGATGAAATGTTGGAGTTTGGAGATTGGTTGAAGGAGAGAAAGAATAAAAAGGAAGCTCAACAAAACGAGAATTTACAAAAAACTGTGAATGGGAAAAAGGGGAATGCTGGAAAGGCAAAAAAGACGACGAAAAAGAAGAACGGTAAGGGAAAATTTTGTTTTAAGCATTTTCTATAATGTCAACTTTGGAAGAACTACCGTAATCTTGTCTCCATTTTTATCCATTCATCTTTTTTCGATATTTTTCGGTATCCTACCCTCACAGAATCAGAGATAAATTGTATTGGGCAAATTGGATAAAACACTAGATACTAGACAAGAACACTAGAACACTAGACAAGATTACGGTAGCTGTGCAGTGCGTGAGAGGGTATCGATGGCGTGATAAGTATTTAGATATTTATTTATTTATTCCGAATATAGCACAATCACTAATCTAGCGAGAAATACAATAAATTGGTGAATTGAAAAATGCCGGACTTTGAACTAAAATTTATTCAACATAAAACCATGAATTCATTCCAAATAATTTCCACTATTACTGACGACTTCTGCCCATTTTACAGGCAATTTGCGGATTCCTCTTTCTTGTTGGGATTTTGGTTTGTGTGTGAGACAAGTGTGAGACTCAAAAATGGAGGACTGGAGATGTCCCAGTTCTCACACTTTCTTCAAAAGAAACTCATTTTGGTGTCAATAGAAAAGTTGTAGAGAATCAAAAATTAGGCTTATAGCCAAATTTCCAAAAAGATACACTTAGTATTGGGTTGGGGAGAATGAGTCGGCGCCGAAAATCAAAGAAATTTCTAAAACTTATAGCAGACTTTGTCAAATGATATGCGTTTGATATCAGTAGAATGGTTAACTAATTCTCTACAAAATGACATTTAAAAGAAAACTCAAACAGTGCCTCAGCTCAAGAAAAGACCATTTTTTCACAAAAACTACAAACTGTGATCTAGAAAAAACCATTGGTGGGATCTTCCTGCAAATTTGGCAACTTAAGTAATTGAATGTGCTCTATCTTTTTTATATAAACACCAAAGAAGGTTTATGTGAAAGAAACTGTTCAAATGATGAGTCGGACTCTTTGCCATTTTGACCAGCTGCGTTTGGAAGTTCATAAACTCCACGAAAGAAAAGCTTTGTGGAATCTCTCAAAAGTCTTTTTGTAGAGAAATAGTGGATCCTTTTGATGAAACAAAACGTATATTTAAAGAAGGTTTTATTTGTGCAAAAAGTGTCTTTAAATTTCGGCGCCGACTCATTCTCCCCAACCCAATAGTTTCGCTTAAAATGCAAGTTTTGTGAAAATTCGTAAATTTGGCATTTCTTGAAAACCAGTTTTTGAATCGTTCTGAAAATTTGGATATAAGCTTTATTTTTGATTCTCTACAACTTTTCCATTGGCACCAAAATGGGTTTCTTTTGAAGAAAGTGCTCAAACTGTCACATATGACAATAGCCCGCAGTTTTCAATTCACCAACCCAATAGATTGAGATTAGCCTTGATTTGCGGAGAAGTCAATGTCGAATTTGAGGCTTCGGAGCCGGCCAGAAGAGATTCGAGGGCAGAGAGGGAAGGGAATTATGTAAAAGCCCTGCGCCAGGTGACGAGCGATTACGCGGCCGCACAAAGAACACACAGAACACAGAAATTTTAAGCGGAACTACTAAGTGTATCTTTTTGGAAATTTGGATATAAGCTTCATTTTTGATTCTCTACAACTTTCCCATTGATACCAAAATGGGTTTCTTTTGAAGAAAGTACTCAAACTGTCACATATGACAATAGCCCGCAGTTTTCAATTCACCAACCCAATAGAATCAATCGTTGCTTCAGTGTTTCAAAGCGAAAGAAAAGCAATAAAAAGTGGGCTTTTTATCACACAAACGATCTTTAGAGGAAGAAAAAGAGAAACAGAGATATTCAAAATCAAAGCATCAAATAAGATTTCACAGAAAAGAGCTACTTTTCTGCACAGTAGCTTTCGAAAGTTGGCATTTTTTAGAAAAAGAATCTATTCAACTTGCAGGCAACCCGTCACCCGATCCACCGTAATCCCCGAAGATGCTATACTGGTCCCCTAATATTGTAAGCTAAAACCTTTTTTCTTACTACAGTATGCAGTATTTAGATGAAATGATCAGTAGTACTGTAGAAACTTGTTGATACGGTATTCAGACATTAGGTGACACTGTAGATACGGTATTCAGACATTAGGAGACATTGTAGATACGGTATTCAGACAATAAGACTGACTATCTTGCAGGTAAACAAAAAATGCTGCTTTTTCAGTTCAAAGGCCTACTGTAGTAAGATAAAAGATCAACTTTACGATATTTTTTTTAGCTTATTCTATGTGCTCATTCTTTGTGGTTCTGCCAGTTTTCATAATTTATCCCGAGAATTTTTCATTTCGTCTTTCTCTAGTCTTCATCATCTTCGTAAAAATCCCCAAAACTCTAGTCATCGATTCTATTCAAATGATTCAAACTCTATTCAAATATATATTTGCATTTCTTTTAATTTTTTTTGCATTTCATTGCATCGCTTGCCTACTTACCGTAAATACTGTAATAGTACCCCTCCCGTACAGTCGCGTAGTCGCTTTTTTAGTATTTCATTTTTTTCAAAGCACCCGTACTTTCAAAAAATGCGTCTTTGGTATCAAAAAATAGCTGAAATTCAGGGCTATTTTTTGATACCTAAGCGCGCATTGTAGCATAAACCAGTGTCGAGAAAAACTCGTTCAAAGCTAGACTACGTAACACTCCACACCGTCATTATGGGAGTGGGGTACTATTACAGTATTTACAGGAATGATTTTAAAATCGAGTACCTTTATGTCGTAGCTGATTATGTATTTCAGCCGATGATGAATGGGTGGATCTACGGGCGTCCAACCATCAAGTGTTTGGTATCATTCAACGCAGACTCATTGATAATTATATTTAATTTTTTAAATTAGAAAGATTGGATAAAAAGAAAAAAAGTTACGGTGTTTCAAAGTTTTCTCTCGAACAAACCGTTTTTTTTGCTGTAGTTTTTTTTCTTTTTATCCAATCTTTCTAATTAAAAAAATTTAGCATAATTATCAATAATTCAGCGTTGAATGATACCAAACACTTGATGGTTGGACGCCCGTAGATCCACTCATTCATAATTGGTTGAAATTCATAATCAGCTACGGGGGGGGGGTCCCGGCGATTTTGAATGAAACGTTGTAGCGCCCGGAATTTTAAACTAAACTCCCAAATTTGGTACCAATGGACGCAGAATTTCATTCACTACAAAATGATATAAGAATGTGCTCATACATTAAAGGGTTGCTCTACTAGAAAGGTTTGCCAGAAGAATTTCATTCAAAATCGGCTACGACATGTATAAAATTTGAGTAAAATGTCCCTTTACTATGCCAAATTGGTCGCGTACTTTGTGCCCTGGCGTACTTTGTGCCCTGGCGTACTTTGTGCCCTGGCGTACTTTGTGCCCTGGCGTACTTTGTGCCCTGGCGTACTTTGTGCCCTGGCGTACTTTGTGCCCTGGCGTACTTTGTGCCCTGGCGTACTTTGTGCCCTGGCGTACTTTGTGCCCTGGCGTACTTTGTGCTCTGGCGTACTTTGTGCTCTGGCGTACTTTGTGCTCTGGCGTACTTTGTGCTCTGGCGCATTCTGTAGAAAATTTGCATTTAAATATGGATTAGTCCTGTTTAGATCGTCAAAATGCTAGAGAAAAATGTAAAACCCAATGCGACAGAGGGCTCGCGTTTATCCGAGCACAAAGTACACGCCCCAATTCAATAGATTCAATAGATTTTCTTCAAGTTTTCAATCCCGGTGTCTAGATATCATATTTACCGTATTTTCTCTAATAGTAGTGCACCGTGAGTGTCGCCTAAATTCCTTGAAATCTCGAGAACCGCTTATCAGAACCTATCGATGTGGGGTCGGAAAATGTAGCTGACGATGAGATCTAGCGGGGAATTAGAGTGTTGAGCTTCTGGGAAAACTTTGGAAGCCGTAAATAGGCATCAACTCGGCTCACCGGGGTGCACTACTATTAGAGAGAATACGGTATGCTAATATTTAATAAAACTCGACACAATTCAGATTCAATAGATTCGCAAAATAGGTATAATTTTTATAAAAGATCTATCTATCTATTTGGGATGATTTTTTTTTTGATGCACCCCTCTTGCTTTTCGCTTTTCTTTTCGTCGCTTATCTTAGCGATTTCTCGACCGGTGACTCATGCTCATTGTTATTATGCTCATTGTTAATCTAGTGTTTAAAATTTGCTAATAAATATTTATATTAAAGAAATTCTTTTCCGGCTCTTTTACGGATTCATTTCCGGAGACTACTGCTTTATTTTTATTCATCGTTTTTCTTATTATTCATCGTTTTTATTATAATTCATCGTTTTTATTATGAAAACCGCTTCAAAGAATGTGTTGTTTTTTCCTCAGCTAATCGGACTCTGACGCAAACTTATATACGGTTTTGAGCCGAGGGCTATATCAGCCGAGGATCACTGTTTCACCCCGTGACTTTTGCTCAATTTGATTGCCAATGACTGCCAATGACTGCCAATGCCTGCCAATGACTGCCAATGACTGCCAATGACTGCCAATACCTGCCAATGCCTGCCAATGACTGCCAATGACTGCCAATGACTGCCAATGACTGCCAATGACTGCCAATGCCTGCCAATGACTGCCAATGACTGCCAATGACTGCCAATACCTGCCAATGACTGCCAATGACTGCCAATGACTGCCAATGACTGCCAATGCCTGCCAATGACTGCCAATGACTGCCAACTCTTTAACTTATTATCAACTTGTTATTTTTTGGCTTAATTTCAATAGGCAACAAAATTTCATTTTCTTATTTTACTGCTTCAAATTTTGACTTTAAATTTAGACGACTTTCGAAGGACTGAATGAGAATGTCTTATGGCGATTTTTGCCTTTCCAAAAATGGTACGCAACTCTCTACGAATTTCAGGTTAACTTTTATCTTTCTAAACCTTTCGTAGTAGGATTTTGGTTTGTGTGTGAGACAAGTGTGAGACTCAAAAATCGAGGACTGGAGATGTCCCCGTTTGAGCACTTCCTTCAAAACTTTTATTTTATTTAACTTTTATCTTTCTAAACCATAAACACCCTTTTACAATCATTTTTTATAAAGTAAAAAAGCGTATTGATGATGCTCACTTAATGATGCTCACTTGCTGATGCTCGCTTGCTGATGCTCACTTGCTGATGCTCACTTGATGATGCTCACTTGATGATGCTCACTTGCTTCTTCTTTTACCCTGTTAAAGTAAAGTTAAGATAATTGGGAACTCTTTTGAAAGAAAAGCGTCGGGGTTCAGCTTAATAATTGCTATAAAAAAAATGATTTTCGAGTAGAAATTTGATGTGCTTGGGCAAAACATTGGATCTGTAAGTATGAAAGATCGGTTTTTCTTATGAAATGCTTTGTTTAAAACTCCCTAATTCATTGGTTCAATTACGGTTTTTTCTATCGGAAAGCTCTATTAATTTCTTGACAAAATTGCTTTTTAGAGTTTCTGAAAACCTTTTCTTTTTTTTGGCATTTTACGAGAGAGCTGAGAAGCAAAGTAGTCAAAAAAAAAATGACAAATCAACCGATTTGGACACTTTCGTCCATAGAAATCTATCTTAATGTAAATAGAAAAAAAGTTATGGCAATTTACAGATTTGATATTTATAAACCCAATATTTTCCCCAGTTCTGCCATTTTGCTAAGTTCTTTTTTCTATGGAACGACCTTTCCAAGAGCCCTCCTATATTGTGACGTTTCGAAGGAGTGACTCACACTCTGACAAAGCTCCAAAGACTGTTCTATGCACAAGATGTTCTATGTACTCTTGCACACGTTTTTTTGGCCGAGTCTTGTATAGATAGAGTGTCTCTCTCTGGATCTGTCGGAGAGTGATCTCATTTGAGGAAAATTGAAAGAGAACCGGGAAGAGAACCGGGAAGAGAAGACGATTTATCACTTTTAACGGCCTTGTGCCTAGAGTGAACTGCATTTTTGCAAAAGTGCAAAAGGTCTCTCCCCGGCCGGGAATTGAACCCGGGTCTCGCATGTGACAGACGCGGATACTAACCACTATACTACCGAGGAACGTGGTTGGGGTGGACAAAGTGGCATTATGATGGACTTGGACCATGTTTAGGCTTAAGATTTGATTCTTAAATTTGCAGATTTAAATTTTTGCAGAATTTAAAATCGGTTAGAGAAGTAAATCTCTGATCAAATAATCTAATAATCTTTAACTTTTTCTTTTAAACTTTTGAATTTGAAACGACGAGAGACGTTTTGGGGTGACTCATGTCCCTCAAAACTCATGTCAAAGCTCATATAAAAGCTCATGTCAAAGCTCATGTCAAAGCTCAAGTCAAAGCTCATGTCAAAGCTCATATCAAAGCTCATGTCAAAGCTCATGTCAAAGCTCAAGACAAAGCTCGTGTCAAAGCTCATATCAAAGCTCATGTCAAAACTCATGTCAAAACTCATGTCAAAGCTCGTGTCAAAGCTCATGTCAAAACTCATATCAAAGCTCATATCAAAGCTCATGTCAAAGCTCATGTCAAAGCTCATTTCACTCACAAGTTCAGCTTGTATCGAAGCTGCAAAACAATATCTTGCATGGCGAAAGTCTTCAAGCCAAACCCTTTCCTTTTCTCTTCAATTTATTTCTCTCTCACCAAATCGATAAGATTTGTTGAGTGTGATCTCTTTTCCTGCTTTACCCCGTTTTCTCCCCATTTCTCTCAATATTTCCCCGTTTTTGGTCAAAACCGAAAAAAAGACAATTCCCTTATCGCTTTCACAATCGATTGGCAACAATATTTTGAAGAAATATCGCACTTTTCAAGTGCAACTTGTCAGTTAATCCGGAAGTTTAAAGTCAAAACTTGTTCTGCTTCCGTTCATCATTGATTTCATGTACTTATCTACTTCATTCTAAAGTTAAAAGTTGACTAATATCTGAGTATAACTGACAAAACAAAGACAAACACAAATACGACGTACGTACTAGCTAAGCTCTAGGATTTGCTTCTTGTTATAGCTAGGCTTATTGATCGTCGCTCGTTTGTCGCTTTTTATAGCTAGGCCTAATGATCTAAATTCTTTAAATCCGACAAAAATTTAAGCTTTTTCAAATTTTCAAATATTCAGCCAAGTTTTTCTTTAATACTTTGACTTTTCGTTAAATTTTGTATTAAATTTCCTTCATAATTTTTGAACTTTTCTCTTTCATGAAACCTTTCGAACTCTTTGAATATCTTAAAAGTTAATTATCTAAAGTAAATTGACTAATATATGTTTTTGTAAGCCTGAGATTAGTTCTACTGTAACATAGCATTGATATTAAGTTGATAAAATGATCAATTCCCGCTTGGTAACGAGGTTTTTCCTTGCGCAAATCATTGCACAACTCACAACTCACAACTCACAACTTGCACAACATTTCCTGGCATAAGACAATGATAGAATTTTTGTTGACCTGTTAAGAGCGCAGGTCAACAAAAATTCTATCATTGTTCTCTCATTTGTCTCATTCATTTGCACAATAAAGTTCTCATTTGAAATGATATTTTTTTCCAATTCAGCTATAGACTTAGATTTAGAAATAAAATAAATTGAAAAGGTGGAAATAAATTGCAATTACGATAGAAAGCTTTCAAAATGAGCCGTTTCAAATACAGTTATTCTAAGTCCATAGTCCAGTCCAGCTGAATTGAAAAAGAATATCATTTCAAATGCGAACTTTATTGTGCTCTTAACAGGTCAACAATAATTCTATCATTGTCTTGTGCCAGGAAATGTTGCGAATGAGTTGTGCAAGGAAAAAAACTCGTTACCAATCGGGCATTGATTATTTTATAAACTTAATATCAATGCTATGTTACAGTAGAACTAATCCCAGACTTACAAAAACATATATTAGTCAATTTACTTTATTGTGCTCTTAACAATTTACTTCAATTTACTTTATTGTGCTCTTAGCAGGTCAACAAAAATTTTGTCATTGTATTGTGCCAGGAAATGTTGCGAATGAGTTTATTGCTATTTATTTCCATTTTGTCTATAAAACTGTCGATTTTCTATAAAACTAAAATGAATCTTTGTGCAAATTTAGATAAATATTAAAATTTTAAATAGTTATCTATTTTCCGTTTGTCTTGATTTATCCCTTTTCAAGTAATTTTCACCATTAAAAGCTTTATTCAAGTACAGTTGATCCATTTCACCTATCTATTGGGTTGGGGAGAATGAGTCGGCGCCGAAAATCAAAAAAATGTCTAAAACTTCTATTCGACTTCGTCAAATATCCGCTCAAGAAAAAGCCATTTTTTCACAAAAACTACAAACTGTGATCTAGAAAAAACCATTGGTGGGATCTTCCTGCAAATTTGGCAACTTAAGTAATTGAATGTGCTCTATCTTTTTTATATAAACACCAAAGAAGGTTTATGTGAAAGAAACTGTTCAAATGATGAGTCGGACTCTTTGCCATTTTAACCAGCTGCGTTTGGAAGTTCATAAACTCCACGAAAGAAAAGCTTTGTGGAATCTCTCAAAAGTCATTTTGTAGAGAAATAGTGGATCCTTTTGATGAAACCAAACGTATGTTTAAAGAAGGCTTTATGTGTGCAAAAAGTCCCTTTAAAGTTTGGCGCCGACTCATTCTCCCCAACCCAATATTGGTTCTCAGTTTACTGCTTTACTGATTTACTGCTTTACTACTTTATTTTATCAATTACAGTCAAAACAATGTAAAAGCCATGCCAAACGATCAGCCGCTAAACAAAAGAAAACGCCATTATGCGGAGGAATTGGAGGGGACCTCCACGACGTCGACGGCAGCTTTTTCAACAATTCCACAAACGCTTTCGACTGAAAAGTTCGTTTCTAGCACCTAATACCAGGCTGATTTGCCATATCGCGAGCGATTACGCGCGCACACAAAGAACATCTCGCTAGTCATTCACATAAGAATTTCTCTTTTCCTTTGTAGATTGTGTAAAAAAGATATTCAGCTGTAGATTTGTACCGGGAGATTTCCGAGGTTAGGAAATCGATTTGAGATATTCATTTTATTTTATTCCTTTTGCAACATTCAAAATTTAGCAATCTCCCCTCGTGGACAGCTTTCGAACATGAAAAGGTAATGACTGAACTTGGCTTTGGACTTGGCCGGTTCTGACAAGGAACCAGATCAAGACTGGGGGTCCGGTCTTGATCTGGTTCATTGTCAGAACTTGACTGGCCGGAACTAGGTCTAGTCTAGATCGGGTTCTGATATCGCCCTGGTCTGATTTGTATCTGGTTCTGGCCTGGTTCTGGCCCGGCCTGGTTCGTGTGTTTTCTGGCCCGACCTGGTTCTGGCCTAGATCTAGCGCTGGGTCTAACTAGACCGGCACTTGAGCCTAGCTCCGTACTTGGCTAAATGTCTCCTTCTAGGATATGCCTTTCACCCAGTCAATTCCACAATATCAAGAGTTCAACCAACCGCAGCCACATCAACCGCACCAACTCCCACCACCTTCTGGTAAACAAAATGACAAAAAGCTAACAGACTACTTTACATTGTGCTCATAAAATTTTGCATATTTACAGATGGCTTCGACTTGACAAATTTATGCGGCAATATGAATCTTGAGATGAATCATGGCGAGATCGTTGATCCAGTCTACTCCAATAACACATGGTTTGCCACAGAACAGTCCGTGGATTCGTATCTCGGTCAGTTAAAGACCTAAGCCAAAATTTGACTTCAATTTTCAGATCAACGACCACCCGAGGCTTTCAATACAGCGTACCCTGGATATTTTCAAGGATCCGATCAATGTGAGTTGTGCCAGAAATAAAAAGAAATCCTTTTCGCAGTCGGTTTTGAATCGTATTCAATGGGAAGAAGTCAAGAAGACCTTCGGGATCCGGATCAACCAGGTGAGATTCTAGAAAGGATAACTGAGACACGGCCTGGTTCTGTCCTGGCCGTGTCTATGGCCTTGCCTTATCTAGCTTAGCCTTAAGAAAGATAAAAATAACTTTAGGAGTTTTCCTTTCTAAACCAACTCCCAAAGTTATTGTTATCTTTCTTAAGGCTAAGCCAGATAAGGCAAGGCCATAGACAAGGCCAAGCCTGGCTTCTGGAGGCCTCAAGCTTTTATGGTCCATGAAAGCAAGCCTAGAAAAAAATCAAGCATGGCCTTGAGGGCCCAGGCCATGCCAGGACCTGATCCTGACCTATCTAGGAAGTTGTCTGAACAAAACCGCGCACTAGGTCCATCTCATCTTTACCACACTCCACAACCAAAAACGCTTTTCGACTTCGACTTCAACGAAGACCTGCGCTTATCAGGTAAATCTCATAGCTGAGAATGATTAGCAACTCCTTTAAACCCTTAGGTAAAAACTAGAAAATGGGTGCCCCCAGAAATCGTGAGTTCCTGAGAGCACAAAGTACAACTGACAGCTTTTAGTCAGTGAAGATGCTGTAGAAGGGAATGAAGGTCGAGTCAGAGATGAGAGGAATAATCTATTGGAAGATTGGAAAGTCAAAGATTGGAAATCGAGTGAATGGAAAAAATTGGAGGAACACTGTACAAAAAGTTTCGGATGTCTTCCACCGCCTCCACCACCCGCAATTTTATATGAGAGGAAGAAAAATGGGAGAAAGGTTTGACTAGAGATTTTTGTATAAAAGATTATACTGATGTGCATTTGAGAAAAGCGATTGTACTTGGGTTTAGATTGTCTGGCTGATTGATTTGGATGGGTCAGGGAGAAGATCTGATCTGTTTATTGCCTGAGTATGCTTGGCTTTGCTACAGTTTTTATCGACAGTAGTCTCTGGGATGTTATGCTAGGCTAGAGTCAGGTCTAGATCAAGGTTCTGACTGTCTTTTCTGATCGATTCTGAAAATTGCCCCGAAAATGGCTTTCGGTTGGCTAAAAGCTTAGCGTGGCTTAGACTAACTTACATTAGATTATGATTGGGACATCATTTCTTTTTCTATACTTTTTAAAAATACGGATTACGATAGGTTTCCCTGAAATTTGGATTTTTTAGAAAGTATAACCAAATACAGTATTTTTATATTGGGTTGGTGAATTGAAAACTGCGGGCTATTGTCATATGTGACAGTTTGAGGACTTTCTTCAAAAGAAACCCATTTTGATGTCAATGGAAAAGTTGTAGAGAATCAAAAATGAAGCTTATATCCAAATTTCCAAAAAGATACACTTAGTAGTTCCGTTTAAAATTTGTGTGTTCTGTGTGTTCTTTGTGCGGCCGCGTAATCGCTCGTTGACTGGCGCAGGGCTTTTACATAAGGCCCTTCCTTCACCCGTTGCCAAACGAAACTGGCGGGCTCCGAATCCTCAAACTTCTTCGCAAATCAAGGCTAATCTCAATCTATTGGGTTGGTGAATTGAAAACTGCGGGCTATTTTCATATGCCCCGGTTTGAGCACTTTCTTCAAAAGTAATCCATTTTGATGTCAATGGAAAAGTTGTAGAGAATCAAAAATGAAGCTTATATCCAAATTTCCAGAACGATTCAAAAACTGGTTTTCAAGAAATGCCAAATTTACGAATTTTCACAAAACTTGCATTTTAAGCGGAACTACTAAGTGTATCTTTTTGGAAATTTGGCTATAAGCTTCATTTTTGATTCTCTACAACTTTTCCATTGACACCAAAATGGGTTTCTTTTGAAGAAAGTGTGAGAACTGGGACATTCCTCCATTTTTGAGTCTCACACTTGTCTCACACACAAACCAAAATCCTACTACGAAAGAGGAATCCACAAATTGCCTGTAAAATGGGCAGAAGTCGTCAATAATAATGGAACTATTTGGAATGAATTTATGGTTTTATGTTCAATAAATTTTAGTTCAAAGTCCCGCAGTTTTCAATTCACCAACCCAATAGAATCTATTAGGTTGATGCAAAAGTCTTTTTCATTTTTTTCGTCTGCCGTTTCAAGCCAACAAATGCACGAATTAAACTACGGTTGATTTCATTAGAAAAAGCAATTATTTTTCTGCAAAATAACATTAAAACGGGTTTAAAAATATTTAATGCCTGGATTTTCTTGAGAGTATGAAGTCGGGTAGTCAAAAAGGGCTAACTCGATGATGCGGTTTAGACACCTTAGCTAAAGAAAACCTATCTTCGTGTCAATAGATAAAAGATAGAGAAAAAAAAAGTTTGATATTTCGCCAAAATTTGAGAGAAATTCATTCAGCCAATTTTTCCGTAGAGTTTTTTATAGATTTTTACGAAAAAGGCGTTTTTCACTCTCGAATTTGCTTGAAAGTGAACCGAAATTCATTTAAAAAGATGCAAATTGAACAAAAAAACACTTTTTTTATAGAGCAAACTATAGATTAATTGGTGAATTTGTTACTTTTTAACAGAAGTACGAAAAAAACGAAAAGACTTATGCATCAACCTAATATTTTATAGTTTTATAGAATCTATCAGTTTTATAGAATCTATCAGCAAGCCTACCGTAGCATAGTCTAACTGATAACAAACTTTGCATAGATTTCACTTATAATCTGTAATGTAATATAATATGCATAGAAAGCCTTTAACTTACTGATAGATAGATTGTCTTACTTATTTGTGGTTAAACCAATATAACTTTAAAGATGCATCCGGAAAACGAGATCGATCCATACTTTCATCTGACCGACAAAGACGCGCTCACGTTAATGGAGGGGAAAAGACGAGGAAATGAAATGGTTTTTAGAAAAATTATTCATAAAAAAAAGTTATTATTTCAGCTCAAAACGGGAATCACCAGTTGGTACGAAGCTGCGGATAAACAGGAAGCGGCGAAGCAATTGTGGAAAGAAATCCTTGGGTTAGTTCCCTAAAAAGACCAAATTTCGAAAGCTAACATAACCGTGCTTCTAAGTGAAATTCTGTGGATTCTATTTAAATATCTCTAGCAGGTTACGGTAGGAATATACGAGATTTAGACGTGTGATCAACAATCGCCAAAGCACGGCCGTCAAGAATCGCTCCACTGATGCGCACGGGCATTTCAGCCGAGCAACTATGCAAGTTTGGTAAGTTATGAACAACCTTTTTATTGTATTTCTTTTTTTACTTGAAACTAGCCTTGAACTCTATTCGATTTTTTTTTCTAGAAAATAATCACAAAATTTAGCGAAGCGGCTAGTCGATATCGAGATCTTTTGGTGAGGTTGTTCAATGGACAAATGATGGGAGAAGACGCTCAAAGAGAGATGAATTCGATCGATCAGACAATTCTCGTGCCTGATGAAGAAGGACGGACTTTGGTTAGTGAAATAAAAGAGGAAAAGTTGCGAATATAAAAAATCTCTTTGAGTGCTGACTATTAGACATGGGAAAACGGGTCGGGTTGGATCGGATTGGATCGGATTGGATCGGATTGGATCGGAGCGGAGCGGATTGGATCGGATTGGATCAGAGCGGAGCGGATCGGATCGGATTGGAGCGGATCGGATCGGATTGGAGCGGATCGGATCGGAGCGGAGCGGATAGGATCGGAGCGGAGCGGATAGGATCGGAGCGGAGCGGATAGGATCGGAGCGGAGCGGATAGGATCGGATAGGATCGGAGCGGAGCGGATAGGATCGGAGCGGAGCGGATAGGATCGGAGCGGAGCGGATAGGATCGGATTGGATCGGATAGGATCGGAGCGGAGCGGATAGGATCGGAGCGGAGCGGATAGGATCGGAGCGGAGCGGATAGGATCGGAGCGGAGCGGATAGGATCGGAGCGGAGCGGATAGGATCGGATTGGATCGGAGCGGAGCGGATCGGATCGGAGCGGATCGGATCGGATCGGATTGGAGCGGATCGGATCGGATCGGATCGGATCGGATCAGATCGGATCGGATCGGATCGGATCAGATCGGATCGGATCGGATCAGATCGGGTCAAAAGTTGACCCGACCCGACCCAAGAATTTTCCGGTTGCCCCGAACTGACCCGATCCGACACTAATTGCTGAACTTGCGCCAAAATGCATCAGAGTTCAGCGAGAAAACTTACAATTAGTGTCCTGTTTCAGTATATTATGTCAGGATCTTCTAATGACTTTCAAATATTTTGAGCTGAAGCTTTTCCATAATAAGCCGGAAACTGGATAAACGAAAAAAACTTTCAGTTGAGCCGGGTGCGCGACTTCGCCGAGACCGAGGCCAACAAAAAGCCGACAACAAGGCAAAAAACGATGCCGAAAGATGAAAAAAACAATAAAGATAAAAAGAAGAAATAAGGGGGGAAAAGTTTGCGAGATATTTCGAGATTAGGATACGGAAAAGTTTGAAAACTTTATCGTATCGAATCGAAATCGTATCGAAAGCTTGAGCTTGTTAAAAAGTTGATCTTCTTCAACTTGTTCATCTTATTTCCTCCAAATTATTCTCTCCGATCAAAAAACTTTGTAATCTTAAGTGATTTTGAAATGGAAATTTTTTGAAAATTTGAATTAGAAAGCTCTTCTAATATTTTTTTCTAAAATGCATTAAAATTACCGTAATCAAATCACCAGTTTACATCTAATTAGCCTCATTTTCGGGATAGGCTAATTTCCGCCATTTTATTTGCGCAACAGGGTCATTTGCGCAACTGGGTCGTTGCGCTTGCGCAACTGGGTCGTTGCGCTTGCGCAACTTGCCATAACTTTCTTCTAAGTCGACCAATCTTTATGATTTTGGTGTCATTTTGTAGAGCTCGATAAGTGCAACAAAATGAAACCAAAATCATAAAGATTGGTCAACTTAGAAGAAAGTTATGGCAAGTTGCGCCAGGGCCCAGTTGCGCCAGGGCCCAGTTGCGCCAGGGCCCAGTTGCGCCAGGGCCCAGTTGCGCCAGGGCCCAGTTGCGCCAGGGCCCAGTTGCGCCAGGGCCCAGTTGCGCCAGGGCCCAGTTGCGCCAGGGCCCAGTTGCGCCAGGGCCCAGTTGCGCCAGGGCCCAGTTGCGCCAGGGCCCAGTTGCACCAGGGCCCAGTTGCACCAGGGCCCAGTTGCACCAGGGCCCAGTTGCACCAGGGCCCAGTTGCGCAAAGTAGCCTATCCCCAATTTTCGTATTATTTGATGAGAAATGACCAAAACTCATTTAATAATACAAAAATTGGACTGGAAAAGGAAAATAAATGGAAAATAGCTGTTAGATTATGGTAATTTTCTGAAATTTGCATCTAGAAAACACGCTAGCCAAGTGCTTGTATCATCGATTTTTTTGTGATTTTTGGCATATCTTCTAGAAATTGCATTTATTTATGTATTTATTTGTAGTCAGCTTTGTTTTCTTTATATCTAGTCGCTCAATTTCTACCCATTTCATTTGTCCAAATCACAACAAACAGTTGCTCAGAGATTTTGTGTTTTTACTTATCAAGACTTATCAAAAACTTTCCCATATCTCTACTATATTTAAAGTACTAACTTCCCCGTATCTCTACTATATGTAGAGTACTTCCCCATATCTCTACTATATCCCTCTCTACTATTCTACTATAAACTCTCTACTATCTCTACTACTATATATAAATTTTATTTTTTGAAAAGCTGAATATTTTTATACTCTATGAAAAAGCTGCTCAAGTCATTCGAATAATGGAAAACTTTTTCCGAATGTTTACTCGATAAGCGCTCTAATTGCTCTAATGTATTGCTCGGCTGCCGTCTTGTCTAAACATTTATCCACAGTAATCTTTGAGAAGATAGAGTTAGATTACTTATTTAGATTTAGATTAGAGTTAGATTCGATTTAGATTAGAGTTAGATTAGAGTTAAATTAGATTTAGATTCGATTTAGATTAGAGTTAGATTACTGTAGAATTCGGAAAAAGTTTTCAAGTTTCAAGTCTCCTTATTTTTCCGCGCAAATCCACTTTTCGCTTGTCTCACTTTTCCTACAAAATTTCCTCCCAATTCTCTTATCCTTCCGGTATTTTTTTTGAAATTCGGTGAAATTTAAAAAAAAACTCTGTGATTTTTAAAAGCGAAAACTTAATAAATTTTATTTTTTCTATTTCCTATCTAGTTATTTATTTGTTATGAAGGAAGTTTATCGATGTTATCCACCGCAAAAAAAAAATAGAAAACCGGGGAAATTTTGGTGAAATATCACATGGAAAAGGTTTGTCTAATAAAATTACGAAAATACTCCGAAAGTGGTCGAAAATCATTTCAGGAAAAGGAGTAAACAACCCCAGGAAGAAGACTGAGAGCCGATACAGAGACAACCGCAGAAAAACTGAAAAATGGAAAACTTTCAAAAGTCTAATGAAATCTTTCGATATTAAGAAGAAAAATATACAAAAAGATACAAAATAAGAAATAAAAAGACTTCCAGATTCTGAAAGTACGGTAATATCTGTCTAATAACAGGTACTTAAGGTACAGAAACTCAGCCAGATCCACTCAGCAAAAACCTTTGTACATCAACACAAACGTTTGCTTTTTCAGACTTGTTTAAACCTATTAGTTTCAGTTCTATTATCACGAAATGCATTATTTTTCAAGCTTTTCATTTACTTCTTACAGACAAACAAAAAATCAAAGCAAGAACTCGTCCTATTTTTCAACATCCTTCCCACATTTTCAAATGTTTCAAAAAGTCAGGCAAGACAACACTTTTTGATGTATTGGGTTGGTGATTTGAAAACTGCGGGACTTTGGTTTGTGTGTGAGACAAGTGTGAGACTCAAAAATGGAGGACTGGAGCTGTCCCAGTTTGAGCACTTTCTTCAAAAGAAACCCATTTTGGTGTCAATAGAAAAGTTGTAGAGAATCAAAAACTAGGCTTATAGCCAAATTTCCAAAAAGATACACTTAGTAGTTTCGCTTAAAATGCAAGTTTTGTGAAAATTCGTAAATTTGGCATTTCTTGAAAATCAGTTTTTGAATCGTTCTGAAAATTTGGATATAAGCTTCATTTTTGATTCTCTACAACTTTTCCATTGACACCAAAATGGGTTTCTTTTGAAGAAAGTCCTCAAACTGTCACATATGACAATTGCCCGCAGTTTTCAATTCACCAATCCAATAGATTGAGATTAGCCTTGATTTGCGGAGAAGTCAATGTCGAATTTGAGGATTCGGAGCCGGCCTGAAGAGCTTGGAGAACAGAGAGGGAAAGGGACTTATGTAAAAGCCCTGCCCCAGACGACGAGCGATTACGCGGCCGCACAAAGAACACACAGAATACACAAATTTTAAGCGGAACTACTGTGTATCTTTTTGGAAATTTGGATATAAGCTTCATTTTTGATTCTCTACAACTTTTCCATTGACACCAAAATAGGTTTCTTTTGAAGAAAGTCCTCAAACTGTCACATATGACAATAGCCCGCAGTTTTCAATTCACCAACCCAATAGTAATCTAAAGATATTCAAATTTTTAGTTTCCAAAGTTTAATGCCATCAGATAGATGCTACATATGAAATATAAACAACTAAGTGAATTCTTTTTATATCTAGATTCTTTAGTTGAATGTCTTGAATGTGTTTCCCTTTTTATACCCCTCGTTCTCTCTTTTCCTACCGTACTTGGTAAGGACCGTTTGCTATTTCGTGCTCCTTTTCCCTTGGGTCATTTTTTCATTTTTTTATTTTTTCATTTTTTTTTTTGGTGCTTAGGATTGCGACGCGTTTTTGCCTTTCCCTTTTATTTCTTTTATATTGTTTTGTTTTTTGTGAATTCTTTTATTCTTTTATTCATCGATTCTTTTATTCTTTGTACATCAATTCTAAATTTAATTCAATCCAAATCACACGTATTAGCAAAAAGTACTTTGGTTTCTATTCATCTTCAAATGTTAACTAGTTTTCTTGCAATCCTTTCTTACAAGGCCAGGCAAATTTCAAACGTTTCGATGTAAATCTATTGTACTTTGTAAAGCGGTTGACATGCTTGTCACGTTTGAGTATTTCATTGAAAGTTTTTCGGTAAACCCTAGACTTTTTGACTCTCCAAAGCAGACACCGTGCTAAAATAGTACCCAACGAGGAAACTAACTCTTTTTATAGATCCAAACTTTCAAGGAGCTCAAATGCGACCAGAAATTAACCAGAAACGTTTTCTAAATCAGTTTTTCGCGAGGAACTAACTTTCTAACTAACTATGCCCTGTAAATGTGCCTGATATCTAAACTGTGTTCTCAAGATGTCTAAATTTGTACTCAATGATGTTTTTTCTCATCATCAGTTCACACAAACAAGCTCTCATTCTCTCATTATCCCATTCACTTCCTGGCTCACAGACCATCTCCCTTTCCCCCCTCTAAAGCTCCGCCTTTTCGCAACACCAACAATTTCTCTTATTCTTCTTCATCAGATCCATTTCAATCTTAGATCCAAACGTACTTATCTCTTTTCCGGTACAAAAAAGACCACCATTTTCCTAGAATCTTAAATTTTCTCAATCTCATCGTTTCTCGTCGTTTGAATTTAAGTTCTCACCCCGAAAAAATCTCCACTCTCAAATAAACGAGCAATTGAGCCAACAGCTCGTTTTTCTTTTAAAGCAAAAAGCAAAAAGTTTTTTCGGCTCTTTGAGATAACACGGCCGGGTACGTATCGATTCGAACCGTTTTTTCACTTTCTCCAATCTCCCGTTCACCTCACCCCCAATTTTTCAGCAATGGATAGGGTTTAGCGAGTGGAAAATTGAAAACTTTTTGTGATAGTTGGCCATTTCCCCTTCCGGGAAAGAGATTCTTGGAATTAAGTTTGAGAAATCTTTGACGGGTTACAAATTCTCACAAAATTTCACAATGATTTTATTTGCAACATTTTGACAAACACAAGCAAGACTGAACGGTACTTTCCTATTTGTTAGAAGAATAGAAGCGATTTGTTGGCATTTTTCAATTTGTGACTTTTTGCTTGATCTTTGTGACTTTAAATTGGCTTTTTCACGAATTTGTAAATGATAACACTATTTTCCCAAAAAGCACCTTAAATACTTGTCTATAGTATCTCTGTACAAGACTCAAGTCTAGAAAAGTGCTCATAGTAAGACATAAGGCCCTCTCCTAGCGGCAATGGGGCATGTGCTGGTAGTTCATTGGTGGAGCGTTTGCCCGGTAAGCGAGAGGTCGGGTGATAGGTCGCGGGTTCGAATCCCGGTGCTATCACTTTTTGGATTCCCAGCCCAACCCATAAAAGGATTGGCGTCGCTTAATGGTTGATGGGGAATTTTGCCTAATAGTTATCAAAAAAAACCCTCGTTTTATATGCAAAAAAATGTGAAAAAGAAATAAA